AAAAATGGGTTTCTCATGGACACAGCCATAGCACATCAACTAGAGATCCGGGCCATACAACCTGTCCTTTCTAATCAAAAAGGTCTTGGTTTTTATTTGCACCTCTTCGTGGTCCCTAAAAGTTCAGAGGGATGGAGGGCAGTCCTGGACTTAAAACGTCTAAACCAATATTTAGTTTACCGAAAATTTAAAATGACCACTCTCCAATCCATTTTATTCAGCATCAGAAAAAATGATGTCCTTACCTCCATAGACCTCACGGAAGCTTACTTACATATCCCAATTAAGCCCTCACATTTCAAATTCCTTCGTTTCTGTTACAACAACGTCTTTTACGAATATATTGCTCTCCCATTTGGCCTAGCTTCAGCTCCCAGAACTTTTACAAAGGTCTTGGCTGCCTTAACAGCATCACTCAGAGATAGGTCCATCCAACTTCAATGCTATTTGGATGACATTCTTATTCTGGCATCTTTCATCAATCAAGCAAATTCAAACACTCAAACTACACTTGTAACCCTACAACAACATGGGTTCTCAATCAATTGGTCAAAAAGTCATTTAACACTCTCTACTAGACTCATTCACCTTGGCACCATCATTGATACCCTGGAAGGCAAAGTTTTCCTCTCCCCTGACAGACAAGAAAGCATTCGAGATTTGGCTCAACAGATCAGAACTCTTAGGAAAGTACACCTATGTCTCATTTCTAAATCGCTCGGAAAAAATGATTTCTTGTATTTCTATTATCCCTTGGGATATGCAAGAACCCTGCAATGGTTCCTGTTGCCATACCAACGCACCAGGAGAGACGATGCCAGGACTTGCATAAAAGTTCCATCAACTGTTCTCAGGTCTCTATGATGGTGGACACAACCCGAAATCAACAAGGGATGCCCTTTCAAGGATCCACACAGCTCGATTGTTACAACAGACGCCAGTCTAGTGGGATGGGGCCCCCACTTCCAATCACATACAGCACAAGGCCTTTGGACGGATTCAGAGAAGGCACACAATATCAACTGACTAGAACTGAAAGCGGTGTACTTGGCACTTTGTCACTTCCTCCTGCATCTCCTTTGCAAACATGTGCTTGTCTTAACAGACAACATAACTACAAAGGCCCATATCAACAAACAAGGGGGCACTCATTCCAATCTACTAATGTGGGAAGCAGAAAGACTATTCCTGTGGGCCGAAATCCATCTTCTCTCTCTAAAGGTGGAGTAGCGAATGTACAAGCGGATTGGCTCAGCAGAGCCACGTTGGACCAATCAGAGTGGCGTCTGGACCCCAAGATCTTTCTGGAGGCTACTCGGAGGTTGGGCCAACTGGTAGTGGACCTGTTTGCCTCCCCACTAAATGCACAGCTTCTCCGATTCATTTCTCGTTACCCATTGCAAGGAGCGGAGGACGTGAATGTCCTCAGATGTCACTGGGCCACTGGACTGCTATGCGCCTTTCCTCCCCTCCCTGTGATCCCCAAATTGATTAAGAAGTTGCTGGAAGAAAAAGTGGACCTGCTATTAATGAGTCCTTATTGGCCAAGGCGAGCATGGTTCGCAGAACTGAAGGACCTCTCGATGGTACCACCGTGGAGGATCCCATCATCAGTCATATTGCTGTCTCAGGGCCCAGTGCTACACCCGGACCCCCAATGGCTAAACTTAGCCATATGGAAGTTGAAGGGCGACGTCTGAGAGATGAACACCTTTCTACCCAAGTTATTCACACTATTCAGTCGGTTCGACGTCCTTCGATGAACCGAATCTATGAGGCCACCTGGTCTAGCTTCTGCCGTTGGTGTCAGAAGTTCAGATCGACCTCACTTCCCCATCAGTAGTGCAGTTATTAGAATTTTTACAGGAGGGCCTAAACAAAGGGTTATCACCCAATACTCTGCGGAGACAGGTGGCGGCCCTGGCTTCAGTCATATCTTGGGATGATCTTACCTCCATATCTCATCACCCTCGCATTCTCAGTTTTCTGCGTGGTGCCAAGAACTTGAGGCCCCCCCATAGTGCACCGATATCCAACTTGGGACTTAAATAAGGTACTATTGGCCCTTACTACAGGTCCCTTCGAGCCACTAAGGACCATGACAATTCGATTTCTAACCTACAAAGTAGTTTTCCTGATAGCAATTACATCTGCCCAAAGAATCTCCGAACTAGCTGCATTATCAGTGCTCAAAGATCTCTGCATTTTCCATTTGGATAGATTGGTTCTCAGAGCAGATCCTTCCTTCATTGCAAAAGTTAATTCGGCATTCCATAGAGCTCAAGAGCTGGTGCTCCCAAATTTTTGCTCACGTCCATCACACAGGCTCAAACACCAGTGACACTGCTTGGACGTAACAAAAGCCTTACGCATCTACATAGAGTGCACGGTGCCCTCCAGAAAGACAGAAGCCCTCTTCGTGGGCTTTTCAGCCTAACACCCTGGGGCGCAAGGTTTCACTCTCTACCATAGGTAGATGGCTAAGGGCCACCATTGCTAAGTCGTATGACTCATTCGATTCCAGTGCCCCAAGGCATTACCGCTCACTCCACCAGGAGTGCAGCCACAACAGCAGCATGGACGACTCAAGCTATAATAGAGATTTGCCGAGCTGCAACCTGGGCTTCTCCATCTAATTTATTAGTAATTATAAAATTGACATATTTACTTCTGCTGAGGCTTCATTTGGTAGGTGAGTTTTGCAGCAAGTTATTTCAGAGACAGTTAGGTCTGAAACCCAGACAGAGTCCCTCCCTTAGGACAGTGCCAAGCTTTGGTATGTCCCATCACTGGATGCTCTGAACAGCTCGTGGGAGAAAGGGCATTGGTACTTGCCTGATACGCCCATTCTCTGTGAGCTGTGAAGAGCATCCAGCCCCTCCCTCTTATTCCGTCTGGTAGGGGGTCTGTTCCGACCAGGGTTATTACATAGGCTTAAGCATATAGGGTATCAATACCTTGGCTTCGCAAAACTGGGGAAGCTAAAGAGGAGTCTCGTGGAGGAGGAGGAGTGTCCTCAAGTTTAAGCCCAGCCTTCCTAGAAGGGACTGAAGCACCTTCCATCACTGGATGCTCTTCACAGCTCACAGAGAACAGGCATATCAGGTAAATACCAACACCCTTTTTTGCAGTGTAGGAGTTGCAGATTACAGGATAGTTTTTTTCTGAAACCAAATTGTTTGTTAGAGAGTAGGTTGTTTGTCTCTAAGTGGAGGATAATGGATTGGTTAATAATTGATTCCATGACTTTACAGGTGACGCAGCATAAAGAGATTGGTCTGTAATTTTCAAGTAGGCTGGGGTCTCCCTTTTTGAAGATGGGGATGACTGTGGCCAGTGACCATAGTTTTGGCAAGGAGCTGGTCCTGAAGGATTTTTCAAAGATTATGCTTAGAGGTTCGGCTATGGCAGTGGATAGCTTTTTTAAGAAGTAGGCACATATTCCACCTGGTCCAATAGATAGAGATGATTTTAGATTGTGTAGTGCTTTTTCAACATTGTCTTCTGTAAAATTGATATGTATTAGATCATTGTAGTTGTCAGTGGTTTGGCTAGGAAATGCCTTATATTATTTCAACTTTTACAGAAAATAAAAAGTGCAGTACAAGCAATACATTCTGCAGTCCTTATTAATTGTAGGAAAATAAATTTTGAAGTTGGAAATTTGAATAATTCCACCACATATAATTTACATTCTACTTCCAACTGCTTGCTTTACATTGTTATATGACAACAAACTGGACTGAGGGTTGACATTTATGAAATTTTGATTTAAAGGTTTCCCATCTTGCATTCTTCAAGACTGAAAGACAGCCCCTTCTCAAATTGACCCATTAAATCAAATTTTCATTATATTTTACATTTTTTTCTGATAAGGCTATAGTCTCAAGGTATTCAAGTGTAGTTTGAAATATCTATTAAACCATTAAACAAGGAAGAATATGATGCTGGCTTTGTTTGCTGGAAGAATAAAAAAAAAGTCATACTGGAAATCCAGCAAGGATGCTGGGTGTAAGAAGATAGAGTGCAGGTCTGAGCCCCCTCCTTATGGAAGATAATTGTAAATCAACATGGGTTAAAAAAAAAACCCTCCGTTTTGGAGGTTTAAGCATACATTTGGTATATTTTAAAAAAAGTTTTATTAATTTTTCATTGTTTACATTTTGTTAGCGCTTAATAAACATTGTGTTGTCTGGGTTGTTTTATTTGCTTAGCAATACGGATTACATTCTTATTCTCAACCCCTTTTTTCCAACCACTGGTAGAATAAGTTTAGTACATTTAAACAGCATATTAAAAATCAGGAAGTCCAACAGGACTTGCATGTTTTATCCAAGAATGTTTTATTGAGCAGTCAGGTCTTGCTTCACAAACCAATGAAACATTTATATTAACTGTTTCCCAATTTCAGAGGGCATTAATCCTAGCATGTTGTAATGCTGTCTCCACAGCAGATTTTTTTTTTGGGGGGGGTGGGGGAGATTGTGCCCCAATGGATAAGGGGCCACTGAAACCACAGCTCATGTTCGGTTATATTACATCCTCTATAAGGAGTCCTGGACTCATTTTATAACTCTTTATCTGACAATATATTTGGGAAATTCTGATCTCTTTTATGTACAGCAGTTACTATTAGATCAGTATGATATGGTTTCTTTGAATATAGCTACATTCTGCTATATTGTCTGTAAAATTAGGCAAACTTTGGGTGCTCATTGGTGATGATGACCTACTGTAATAAACTATTATGTCTTTTTCTGTTTTGTTTTAACATTTTAATTTTTAATTCTGGTCTGTAACCATAATTCAAGATTGATTAAATGTTTAGTCTTTGGCTTTGCTTTTCAACTGTAACAAATACTCAACAATGCTCCAAGGAGATACGGGAGCCATGGAAATTAGAAGAAATTTAGCAAATTGAAAGTTTTGAGAAAGACTGAACAATTGAAAAAGAACAAATTTGAGAAATCATTACATGTTGTATTTTAATTCCTCTCCAGAATGATTCAATTCCTCAAGAGGACTTCACTCCAGAAATATACAGGGAGTTTTTGAGCAACTTTTGTCCTCGGCCTGAAATTGACCACATCTTCCTAGAACTGTAAGGAGTTATAGAAACCTACATTTTTCTTCACTTCTGTATTTCTTATAATATTTTTCCCAATGGAAAATTGCTTTATTCCAGTTCTAGCATCATCTTTTGATCAACCAGGGTTTGGGATATTTTGGCTATCATGTTAATGTATCAGCTGTTCTGAGAACCACAATGTTTCTCTGTAAAGGTTGGCCACTTTTGTTGATCTCTTGAACATTAATAATATAATATTCCTAATGGAATGTAACTGTCAGATGATATTTATCTTCTGGCCTATACTAGTTTGAACTCCAGTTAAACTAAGTGGTCAGGAAGTATCCACTGGGCAGTAAATGCTCTGGTAATCTGTTCAACATAGCAAAAAAATAAGTCAGAGGACAGTGTAGTACAGTGCCTATTGTCAGTGCTTGCATTCAATATAAAATTCAGTTGACGGCTGAGCTGCTGTTGTTTCATACTCTAATATTATGGAAAACCCAAAACAGTTTAAAAGTGAATATCAAATGTATTCCTTTTCTTGTGTTTTTAATATTCATGCCTTTGGAGTTTAGAGGGACTTTAACTGTAGATGCATGAAAGAGAATACTGACACCAATGTGGATATATTTAGAATTATCTGGAAAGAGGGAAAGAAAATCGGAGGAGGACATAATTAAAATGGAGCAACTCTGGTTGGACCAATAATTAAATTCTTTTCTCCGCTACCACACTCTCTTCAAGTTCTGTATTTTGTATCTTCCTTCTCAAAAGTGCTCCAATTTTTAAAAATTGGTGCCAGAGCTTTTTTCACACATATTCTTTTTTCATGCATTGTGAATTACATAGGATTTTCCAGTCTGGTTTTCTGACATTTTAGCCATAGCAATACCCTCTTATTCTCTCTTTAAATGATATTGCTAAATGCTGCTTCTGCAGCACTGTGTGTTGATGCTATATGATGGTGATATGAGGAAAAGTGGCGGGCCTATTTGGAAGTATAAACTTGTGGCAGTGGCTGCTCTAAGTAAACCACTGAGTTTGGGTCAAACAGAAAAAAAAAACAAATATCATTATGGGAATGCTTTCATCTTTAACAAATTGTCTGATTATTGTCTAATCTAACTTAGCAAATTGGTTCAATAGTAAACTGGCTTTTTTTAAAAAAAAGTTCAAAAGCTTCTACTGGTAACCAACAGTTTTATGCTTTGTTGGCTTGAGATTTCCTGTTCCTTTTTAAGATTAAAATTTTGGAAGATTCACGTGCGCCCAATGAATACGTGCCTTTCACTTGGATCCATGAGCCCTAGAGAAGCAAAGAAATCATAACACGTAATTGATCTGTGGTGTTTTTTGTTTTGTTTTTGGTTCCTTTTACAATCTGATCGGATTGTAAAGGGACAAAGGGGATGGTTTTTGTGGTTCTGTGTTATATCTTCTATAAGCAAGATAGTGAAAGCAGAGGCTCAGGAACAACACTTACTTTAGATCCAGTAAAATGAATAGTAACTGTTCAGCCTATCAACCCTCTCTGCATTCATTGTAGCTTCAGGCTTAAAGATAGTCCTCGAGTTATAGACTCACCATCCTTGGCAGTGTTCCCCATCCCTTCCAGTGTTAGTAAAATGTGGGAGAGAGGAGGAAGTTACATGAAGCTCAATAAAATAGACTATAAACAAACAGCTAGTCTATTATCTGTGTGAGCCTACACATTCAAGAGCTTGTTCTCGTGTGTATTAGCTCATCCAGGAAACATAACAGAAGGAGATATGTAGGATGCTTGCTCACATACCTTTTCTTTTTCTTTATGTTTTGATGGTTCTTTTTATCAGGGGGGCAAAGAGCAGACCGTATCTAACTGTTGACCAGATGATGGAATTTATAAACTTCAAGCAGCGAGACCCACGGTTAAATGAAATTCTCTATCCGTTCTTGAAGCAGGAACAGGTTCAACAACTGATTGAAAAATATGAACCCAATAATAGTTTGGCAAAGAAAGGTCAGTATTTGTCATTTTCTTCTATATTACAGTTCTGGCTCCAAGGAATTACAGTGGACAGATAGGCCTTGTGGCACATAGCAGTTCATATTCAGTGACATTGTTAGCATGCCTGCTTAAGGTTTCGCAGTAGTTACAGATTAAATATGTTCATTGAGTGAACAAAGCAAGTTAAACTTCCCTGTTGCTTTTCACTTCACAGGGTAGATTATTCAGGGCAATGTAAATGTAAATCACCAGGACAATAAGTAATTTATTTACTAGAATTTGAAAACTGCAGGGGGGAGCATACTGTATGTAGGAGAGGGGTTATATAGAAAATCATTCTTATATCATTGACTTGCAGCAAAATATTTCTGCTGCTTGACAATGCCAGTGGTGGTTTTAGTACAGTCTCCTCTGTACTGGTAAGGTGATACAGGCAGTTCTCGACTTACAACTATTCATTTAGTGACCATTCAAAGTTACAGTGGCACTGAAAAAAGTGGCTTAACGACCATTTTACACATCACAATCCAGCATCCCAAGGGTCACATGTTCAAAATTCAGAACTCTTGGCAACTGTTGTGTATTTATGACAACTGTACTGTCTCCAAGTGACTGTTTGTAACCTTCCCAGCTTCTTCCAACAAGCAAAGTCAATGGGAAAAGCCAAATTTGCTTAACAAGCACATGCTTCCCTTAACAATTGGAGTGCTTAACAACTGTGGCAAGGAAGAGTTGTAAAACGGGACAAAACTCACTTCATAACTGCCTTGGTTAGCAATGGAAATTTTAGGTTCAACTGTGGTCATAAATCAAGGACTATCTGTAGTTATGCTCAGTGGGCTTCTGTACAGATAAAAGTGCATTCCATCATCTCCCAGGAAAGGAATTTTTTTAGGGAAATGAGTAATCATTTCATTGGCCAAAGCTGGGCTTTCTGCCAGATTCTATGCTTACATTCAGTTAAGCATATGCATTGCAAGTGCTTGGCGTTTTAAACATAATGTTATATTTATGCAGGATTCTGGTTTTTTTTTTTTCATTAAGAGTATTTTGCAGGCTTCCTTGCTTTTGAAACGATTCCATGACAATAGTGTGGAGGCACAGGCTGATTAGATACGGGAGAGGAAGCATCATTGAAAAGGAGATAATTAACAAAAGGCTAATTCAACTTTAGTTTTTGAGACTTACTGAGCCAAAATGTCTTAATTTTAGAACTAAAATGGGATTTTACATGTATCTTTGTTTTTCTCTGAACATTTTAACTTCCCAACAAATGGCTGAATTTTTTTCAAGTCCTGAAAAGTGCTTTATCAAGTTTGGAATGTTCTTAGATCTTCCTTCCTTCCTTCCTTCCTTCCTTCCTTCCTTCCTTCCTTCCTTCCCTCCCTCCCTCCCTCCCTCCCTCCCTCCTTCCCTTCCTTCCTGTATTGATTTCTGGCGACTGCCTTTAGTAGTTTTATAGGCAGTTTTTTTTTAAAGAAGTGGTTTGCCATTGACTCTTTCCTTGAGAGAGTGACTGGTCAAAGTCAACCAGCAGGAGTAGATAGAATTCACTGGTGCCGGGTTTACAGCATGATGCCTTTACCACTATACGAAACTGGCTCTCTGATCTTTTTCACCAGTAAAGTGCCTCTCTGCCACCCTCTTAGATAAACCAACATTAAAAATAAAATCTTCCTTTTTTTTCTCCCTCCTAGCCCTCCCACTTAGCTTCACCCTCCTGTCCTCCTTCACCCTCCAAGACTGAGCTGCTTTCCTACTACAGACTCTTCTTCTTACTAGAACAGTATGACTAGAAATCATGGGAGTTTAAGTCTCATATATCTGGAGGGTACTTAGTTAGAAAACCAGAAACTGTTATGATTGAACAGAAAGAACAATCTTTGTCATTGCTGGCTATCCTTGATAATAGCAGTTGGTTTTCTCGGCACAGTTTCAAAATTTAAATGGTTTAGGGCATACAAGATTATCTGTCAGACTATTTACTTCTTAATAACAGCAAATTAGATTATGTCCTGCTATCAGGCTTGGGTCTTTCTGTCATCTCCAAGAGGACCTCTTCTCTGCTGCTCCAAAACTGTGGAGTATCCTCCCTGGGAATGGTGTTTGCCCTCCTCTTCTCTCAAAGTTTAAGAAATCGATAAATATCCTGGTTCTCGATTTTTTAGATAGTTTTAGTATTTATTTTGTTGTTATTTTTCAACCTGGATTTAAACTTTTTCTATTTCGTTTTTGTTTTGAAATTTTGTAAGCTGCCTTAAGTGCACACCAGAGCTGAAGGGGGGGTGGGGGGGGTGGAGGAATGGAATTATAAAACAATAAAGAAATGTGTACCCATTTTTTAAAAAAATTCATTAATGCAACTCTGGTGTTACAAAGTCCCTGGAATATCGATAAACAAAGGCTTCAATATTTTTAAAGCTTTCTGCATAAGCTCCCTGTGAGCAAAACCAAGGTGTGGTAGAATAATTTATTATAGCTTTAACATAGCTATCTATTGAAAGGTCAACTGTTGTCAAGGCTTTATTTTATCCCACATATATGCACAATGGGGCATACTCTGATGAAAGCATTCACATACCGTAAATAGATAGACAGACAGACAGACAGACAGACGGACAGAATTCTTTATTTGCCAAGTGTGATTGGACACACAAAGAATTTGTCTTGGTGCAAATACTCTCAGTATACATAAAAGAAAAGATACATTCGATGAAAAGACCTGTGTATGCTAATAAAAAAAAACAGGTCATTATACAAGTTTCTCTTAGAATTTTCATATGGCAATGGAGCAAGGACGAGGGCAGTATGTATGTTGGAATTGATATAGGTGATGATAATCTATTCACATTTGAATATGAACTGTAATGAGCTATAACTTCCATTCCTGCTTATATAAATAAAGGCTGTTCACAAAACTGCTATAGCCGTGTCATAAGGCATTGAACCTCATTTAATTCATATTCCAGTCCAGAACTGAGAATCAAGTGCTAGCTAGGGTTGCTGGAAGCTGTACTTCAACCGCACATCAGGTGAAGAATTGTACAGGCTTAATTACATGGAGCTATCTTTTCCTACCTTGCAGGACAATGGCACAACTTTCAGTCTTCTCTGTTTAATATTTTATTTTATTTTATATTTGATGTTTCTTCACATCAATTGTTTTCATCTTCTGGTTAGTTATTTTTAAAAGCACAGAAAAATCAATGCGTGCAAACAAACTTTCAGTGATGCATCTAGTAATAAAAAGCAGTATGATTTTGCCTCTTCTCAGTTGGAAGGAAAGATCCTGCTAACATCTGAGTTATGATGTGGACTATATAATTGAGTTGAAATAAGTATCTACCATGTAGAGCCCACAACTTCATACAGAATAACAGAGTCGGAAGAGACATTGGAGGTCTTGTAGTAGTTCCAACCCCTGCTCAGGCAGTTGAATATTTCCTGATAAGGCAGGTAACCCTATACCATTTCAGACCAATCTTGTTTTGTCAGATTTGTCCAATCTCTTCTTTAAAAACTTCCAGTGTTGGATCATTCACAACTTCTGGAGCCATGTTGTTCCACTGATTAATTGTTCTGTCAGGAAATTTAGTTCTAGGTTGCTTCTCTCCTTGATTAGTATTTCTTTCCCTCTTGTTGGTTATCTACCTTTTAAGAAAGGATCTAGAAAGGACATTAGTTGTCTGTGTTTTCCAAATAAGGAGTTAGGCAAATCAAAATAGATAATCACTTAATTTAAATGACCTGTTTGTGACGAGGCTTTATTGCATCAGCATAAATGAGTGGTGAGGTCACCTGCTGCAAGTCTAACAAAATAATAAGCTTGGCCATTATTTAACTTTCAGTGTTGTCCTCCCCAGGAATAGAAGGTAGGTCAATTGGTGGTGCTGAATGAAAATCTTCCGCAGTCTTAGTAATGAATCTAAACATTGCTTCTAAGGGAACATGGTCTTCCGGTCAATCTTCCTGCCATCTTTTATAAGCTGATACAATCTGTTATTTCAGAGGTTTCTGTGTGTTCATCAGATGATTCAACAAGGAAGTCATGACATTATACCACAGCCATTTCACGAGGTATAAGACTAGTACAAGTAATCTTCTTCTTACAACAGTTCTTTTAGTGACCATTCAAAGTTACAGCTGCACCGAAAAATGTGACTTATGGCTATTTTTCACCGTTAATGACTTTTGCAGCATCCCCAGGATCATGTGATCAAAATTCAGATGCTTGGTTCGTATTTATGACCATTGCTGTGTCCCAAGGTCACGTGATCCCCTTTTGCAAACTTCTGACAAGCAGAGTCAATGGGGGAAGCCAGATTTCACTTAACTGGGTTGCTAACTTATTAACTGCAGTGATTCGCTTAACAACTGTGACAAGAAAAGTCTTAAAATGAGGCAAAACTCATTTAACAAATGTCTCACTTAACAGAAATTTGGGGCTCAATTGTGCTCATAGGTTGAGGACTACCTGTAGAAACACACGGCACTGATTTGTTAAAGGCTGTTTGAAAACTGACCTCAGTTTTATGGTAATAGCGATTTTCCTTCAATCGTATTTAATATTTTTAATTGAGGATTTTGAGACTAGTTTCAAATCCCATACATGTATACTTCTGGGAATGACTGTTTTTTAATTCTTCAAAGATCTGATCTATGCTTCAAATTGCGTTTGCTCTCTTTTTTAAAAAAAACAAAAAACAAATTTGTGAATTTCCTATGGAAAATAGGGATCTTTCATTTTATAAACTTAAATTGAGGGGGTTTTCCTTAAAAAAAAACAATAAAGCCTCAACCCAATCTTGAATGGCATATATTCCTAACAGACAATAAATTTTACACATAATTGAATTATATATTTGAATTTGTAGTAATCTGAACTAAGCATTTATACTCTGGAAGCATTTTGTTGGTAAAGTTTATTTCTAAAGCAGCAAGTCAGAATTACACACCCAGACTGAGCTGTGATATTATCTCAGTCTTCATTTAGCCCTTATGTTTTCTTTGTT